AAAGCTTTTTTAAATAATCTGCTTTCAAACCACTCGCTTCTGAATAGTCCTCTACTCTCCCGGACCAAGCGTTATGTTTAGTTCACCACGGAATTAAAGCTCCGAATTTGTGTTTCAATCTACATATAGCTTGTCAGCAGAGTTTATTATCGGCCGCTTTGGGTGCTGAACTCTAAGCTTTTGACGTGGAGAATATCTGTATGAGTGAGTGTCATAAAAGTGTTCCGTAAAACCTTCGCAAATCTCAAATGCCAATCGAAACGTTCCCAATCTGCTGAAAGATTTCTCGTTCGTTACCCATGTCAACACGCGAGAATGAATTAATTACCCAAATGCTTCTGATTATATCTTTACTTTATCCTGATGGCTTCCAGTGGAATTAAACAAAACAAAGGGTGATTTCTAAAATCGACATTTATCAAGTTCTCTTTTGTGTTGAAAATTTGTGCACAAGGTCTGTGCCATACACCGCAAATTCGGTGCAAACGAACGATCTCCCGTCATTAGAGAAAAGTTCCCACCTGATTATCTCGTCACCCTGGAAAGCAATCAGTTCACGATATAACCAATGAACAGAAACATGGTGAACTCAAAGCACTAAGTCACCGAAAATAATGGACGTTATTGCACCGGCAGGTGGAAGATAAATTTGCAAGTCCATATCAAACGGCAACTATAAGCTTGGAAACAGGTTCCAGGCTCTGATTGTTTGCAAAATTAACGTCTCGGAGTCTACCATGTTCAGTGACGGATATATGTTTTCATGTATAAACACTACGTTACATTTTAGGGATTTCTGTTCTAAGCTCACACAAACAATACTATTCCTGTTGGTCAGCTACCATTTTCTCCACCTACTGGCTACAATCCAAACGCAAGTTATCCTGCCATAGCAAATGGTTACCTTGCATTCGTGTACCAAGATATTGAAAGGTTAATACCTGATTTCAACATCCTAAATCTAATGTCAGCGAGTCAGCTGATAGATTACAAGAGATTTGCTCCGTTTTTTCGCGTGATCCAAATTGCACCATGTTTTCAAGAGAATTATTTGCGGCATCTTATCGTATTCTTCTATCACAAATGCACAACCCATCGTTTTTCTGAGTGCTACCCACTGTAACCCTTTGGAATCTGAACCACGAGTGGTTTTTGGATCCCATGAAACAATCAACCGGCCGGAGTTCTATGTGGTGCTTTTTGAGATTCCTTGCTGTGTTTGGAGGGTCCGGATGGTAAATTAAGTAATATATCAGCGCACAATACCTCAGTTAGTTAGTTAGTTATTTGCAACGCTAGACAGCACGTCGCGGTTAAACAAGCCCGACAGAGATGGCGCCAGGACGTTGAACATTGCGTTAGGTGTAACACAACTGGAAGATTTGTATTTCGTTGAATGGTGCCAAACGGACCAGATGCCAACTTTTTTTCAGTTTCCCAGCAGTTGACCTGCGTCTTACCCCACAACAATACGTTCGCGAAGTAAGTGAAGCCTTTCTGGGGAGGTACCTCATCGTGGGATTACTGAACGTTTTGGCTGATCTAATGAGGATAGAACTGGCGGCATCGTAGTGGTCTCGATAGATAATGCTCTGGTAGGTTTGAGTGAGAGATGATTTATTCCTCGTTAAGGGTGCACCACATTGAGTCTGAAAGGACCTCAGTCACGACAGCTTAGGCTTGATCACGGCTTATTTACTGGACAAAATGATCAACCTGTTGAGAATAGGTGCAAAGTAGGGCACGATGTTTCAGCTCAGTCGTTTCATATCCAACTTCACAAGCCGAAAGTATTGTGCTAGGAATCTTCTTCACGAAACACTTCTTAACTGGTTTGATCAACAGCAAAAACGACTGGGAATGAACGCGATTGTCTGGTGAGTTCCATTGAAAATTGTTCACATTTTTACCCTTCCTCACGCTAATACGAACCGCCATCCAGAGAATCACCGATCCCAGAGGCGACTGGAATCCAACTGCTGGATCTAAATGTTTGCTTTTGAGAGAAATTCCCGGGAGGCCGCTTTTAGCTATCAGTATAGAGTATTAAAATTACAGTTGGGACCGATGTGACCGGTCGATACATACGCCACGAATGCAACACTGTCAAACTACGAGTGCTTCAATGTATTGAACTATGATACCTGTTCCTCTTATTTTCACCTATAGAGTGACAAGGAAAATCTGCGCGTTCAAGTCTTCAAGTAACTTGTTTTGAGCAATTCACTATGCATTGAGCTGCTGTTTACGCAGGTCCCCAAAATACCGGCCATTGGTATGCTAGTACCATTCTGCCAAACTTCAATCCATTGTGAACGTTTAATAGCGCACAGTCACGAATATGAGCATAAGGTGTCTTCACTCATGTGGGGTTGAAATGCAATACGTCGGTTCGTGCACGAACGCACCGACAATATTCATCTAGATTGTTTAGCGAAATCATCGAGATGACGGAGTTGACAAAGTTGGGCAACATTGCCTTTTAAACCCAATGAATTCAACACACGAATTCGAAACATGCGGTGCAGTATAGTCGCGCGAATTACGGAGGCGCTGTAAACTCCGACCACTGTCAGCCGGACTTCGGGTTGTGTATGGTTGAATATCCGTTTTATAATGACGCACGTAATAAGAAACGCTAACTTCGAGTGCCAGCCTCATAAGCAGTAAGCTTCCTGCGCGCATGATGGCCAGAACGCACCAAACCAATTCACATACGACAGCCAGGTGTTCATTACTTCGTGGTTTGTGTAGGTATTTCCATTGTAACAACGTCGCTTAAATGCACCACGCCACGTTATCAGAATTCACGGCTCGCTTGGCCAAAACGCCCATAACCCTCCCAGGGAGGGGCAAAGGAGGCCTCTGTGTCCCTGGCAATTATGGTAATGCTTAGATGTACGAAAAGCAGCCTGTTTATTTTGTAATTGTTCATCCAGAAGCTGAGCCAACACGATTCCAAAAAGAGCTGTCTTCCGCGAGAATACAAACATGACAGAGTAGGGTTTCTTTTCGCGCAGTAATTGTGAACTTGCTTTCGTGTTAGCGATGTTGAGAGATATATCAGATTTTCTGCATTTGCGGCACTCTTTTGGAGAATACATGTGTCTACGCGGACAGCCAAGTCTTGACAGTATGAAATTATCTCCCTCCAAATTTCTGGTCTTCTGCATTTTGTTTGCTTACTACAGAAGTTTGTGATGGCTGACAGTAACATGAGTAGCTACGAAGTCTATGTTTGGGGGTTTGAATACGTCTATATTTGGGTGTATTCAATAATACAATCGAAATGTTTGCACCCATTGCAAACTCAGTGAATAATGTTTGCAGCCTCTGTTTCCATCACGAAAATACCCCAGCGACAATGAAGCGATGATGTTCTCCCGTCACTTTAGGTTTCCCGACGATTCTGCCCCCTGAGCAGCCCACCAACTAAGCTTCCCTTTTGTGACATAGTTGCCAGTGTGAATTCTACTTTTCCTTTAAGGGTTTATGATGCTGTTTCGACAGCGTGGTCAGTAATGTTGGTGAATAGCACAATAACAACGTATGATGAAGTACTCAGACAGAGCTACTAACCCATTCATTGGAATCCATTGGAATATGGACTCGCCGAAGATTATTGCTCGCAGATGATTTACTGAAAATTGGTTGTAGGCCTATGGATGAATAGAAAATGTCCCCGTTCTGGTCTTATTGCATCATCTAACCTGTGGCATTTTGACAAAGGCGAATGTTCAAATTTTTCAAGTATCATAAAGTGATTACCAGTCTCAGAACAAATGGGACGAGTGACCGCTATACACCGAGTACGCATTTATGTAAAGGCCTACATCTTGTCTGTGAATCAATTTTAGGTTTCCTGGTACTGAAAACTTTCTAGCCTTGTGGTTTTAATGGGTTTGGTATTTCAAGAAGCACGATCAATGATGATCGTACATAGAATAAGTGTCCTCACTCACTCTGTGGGAATTTGAAATTGCCCAGAGAAAGAATTTGTGTAACCACGCTAATTACGCAAAATTCAGTTCCATTGTCGGCGTGCGGAAACTTTCTCCTATCCTACATATTGAGATTCTGATTGACTTACCCCATCGCGAGAGGCTTGATCTACCTAATTTTGTTGACTTCAATCGAGGGGGACGTCTCAGTACGGGACTGACAACATTAGGTGCAATTGTACAACAGCTTTGTTCACTTTACAATCAGCTCTACAATCAGTCGTTTCATGTATGTCAAATTGTTACGGCTGCGGAGTACTTCTTTCGTCCCGAGGTTGAATTTCTATGCGCACCGTCTGACTCTCCGGCAGAAAGTTGAAAAAAACGTTAGGGTTTGATTGTTTCTGGAACTAGTTGAAGTTTTTCCGGCACGCCGTGAAAATAGTAGCCCCCGTGTAGCCCTTAAGGCCGACGAGTATGTTGATGCTTTCAGCAAGATATATTGGGTGACAGAAGAGAAGATAGTTTACGTATGTTGGATGTATGCATGAATTTAGGCAAGATAGAACTATGTGTTGCAGTAAAACAGTTGACGAACCTATGCTGTCCCGTCGATAAATTATCCAGGAGTGTACATTGAGACAATATTTCTTCGATGTTGGGTTTTATAACTATTTTGGCCTGTTGGCTTGAAACGCATTATTCGCGAAACCAAATTGCTCTAACCCTCATCTGAAAAAGCAAATTCAAGTTAATGCACGTGAGAGTATCGCAGGTCGGAGCCCACTAATTCATTTGAAGGACACACGCAGAACGACACGTCTAACGTACTAATTAACACATCATGTGCTTCGGCTTTTTCCTCTTTTCCGATGCCTAATTAAACGCAAGAAGAAAAGAAAGAGAAAAAGTTCACGAAACTGTGTTCGAAAATGAAGCCTGTGTGGTGGCACTCAGGTGGAGCAAGTGTAAATTAAGACAGAAGTTTTCGTGTGGAGCTCCAACGCTGTATGAGGGAAAAATTCGTCCGGTATGATATATTTTGTTCATACCCAGATAAACAGGTTACGAAATTATCTCGATAGAACCGAGCTGTTTTTCCTGTTTCAACGATTTTACCCTGCCAAAACTGGCCCAAATTGAGACGTGCAATCTGTGGTCTTTTTATCTGTTCTGTGTGAATAAATTTATCATCCCGAACGAAATCATCCAGGCCCACACAAAATGGAAGCAAGTAAGCGAAAGTTTTAAATCACTCAATAACAAAACTCGTGTCACGACCGCGTCCACATTATGACATGAGAGGCCACGATGAACATTGATCAACGAAATTTGTCTGGATTGTTGCCATGAGGGCAATGCATCAAGTATCAAGGACAATCAGCGCAAAAAAACCTTGTCATTTCCAGCGAGAAACTCTAGGCCGGCGTTTGTCATGAAATGAGAAATCTCACGTTAGTTGTGGACCCAAATTTGTTCCAAATTCTTGAGTGCGGAAGCCCATGATAATACAAAACGCACACAAATGCGCAACATTTCGTTAGCTTTCGAGTATTGTTGATGACCGTGGATGTTTGAAGATTTTTGCTTATCCCTTGAACTGGAGACACCCCCTGTGGATTTCAATCGATTCTTTTCTATTATGTCTATCTCCGCCTGCCGTGTAGTATGTTTCGCGTTGACAAACTAGGAGGACCTTGACTCAAACCGCAACTTACTGTCGGATGATGGTAAAAATAATTATTTGTCCGCAACGCTACACGGAATTTTGTTTGAACTTGACCCGCATTCTGGCCACAAGTAATTCTTCTGTACATATTTGAACGAGTGTTGGTCGACTGCAGAAACGTTTGCAGCACTGTCATCTCTAGATCGATATATCGCACAGTCCTGTGCGAATGCTGTAGCAGTGGATGACGTTCTTGGATTGTCGATGCCGCAACTCTGATACCAGTTCCCGTACACATTTAGTGGATGGTTTTGCCCCCGCTGAGGACTGCATTATGTGTGCCGAATATCATGCTTGTTTTCGGAGAAACTTGAAGTTGCTGCCTTGTAGGTGTGAAGAGCTGGTACGATAACAAATCCCGAAAGCGATGGCGATTTGTGGGGAGGGGTGACAGCAGTCTCGGTTGAACCATTTTGCTCAAGGAACTCATTGTTGCTCTTGATCGGAGAAACGCCGTAACATATTTGTGCATCCCCTTCACGTTCGTGGGAAAACGGGTCTTCAAACATTGACAGCATCTGCTCCAACTGCCCGATGAGGTGAAGCGTGCCTCACTGATGCCGCATCAAAGAACGAAACTCATGAGAAAATGTGATAACGAGCCTAACACATTCGCGCGTGCTCGGCCAAGTCTACTGAAACACGTTCAAAAGATTTAAAAATGACGTCAACTCATCTATTCGTGGGGTTGACCGGATACCCTGATCAGCCACATCCACGCTGGTAAATCACATGTGTGCCTTGGTATCGCATGCCCAATTGCGAAAATCCCGATGCTTGTGGTGATAGTCTGAACAAGAGAGTTGACGTTCGCGATTAGTTGCTCTGCGTCTTCCTAATTGATGGATTGTATTTTCAGAACGAGTGTTTCCCCAAATATTTGTCCGTGATATCCAGCTCCAACAAACCTTCTCAGGACGAGAATTAGAAGCATCACCTTAGTTACCATGAGTTATTTCTTGTAAAACCCGCTCGTTGCCTATAGGCAGTCATTTTTCCTGTCAAGGATGGAAAACTCCTTGATACCCCCACAAATACCACAAACGGGGAAACAGCTGGTACAGACGTGCCTAACTGTGATTTAAATTGCATTCCCTGTTTGGTTTAGGTCGGCAAAATGCATCTGATTTCCAGAAAGGCCTGTATAATTAGCATCGGTGTATTATCTAGTCTGGAGGACACTGCGGTTCACTTGCGACTTATAAGCGGACTACTTTTGGCTGGATTGTATCTCCAGCGTACAGTGTGAATCCGTTCTCTCTCATTGGTGCAAAATAGAGTCACGCAAGCGTAAATAACACTTTAAAGGAACCGCGCTCCTTGCAATACCGACATCTTGCTAAACACCACGGTATACAAGGTATAATGTAGATCGAAATCTAAGCGATCTCACATCACCGTCTTTGGAGTCTTTACAATCAGTTCGAAAAATAGAGAAGTGAACTGTGTGAGCATTTGCACTCGTGGATTGTTCGTTATGAAGGATTGGCGACATCATCATTAATGCACCAAAAGCGGGTGCCAAATCGGCGCTGTTCAGTTCGTCACTCGACCGGTGTTCAAACATCAGCGATCGGTTAGCATGCAGTAATTATCCGTAACCACAGAAATTATAATAAACTATCAACATCCGGGCAAAAATTAGCTCCAATTGATCCAGGTAATGATAAAAGCACTGCGCTCAGATTGCAGGCTGCAAACGAAAGCGCCCAAAAGACAGGAAACAAATTTATCGCTGACAATCGTGCATTCTGCTGTCTGCAGGAGAATATTTTGGTGCGAGAGGTAACGCATGTAGGTTTCTGAGCAAACGTCACCAGAAGGGAAAATAACAAACACTGTACTTTCGATATTCATTGAAAAATATGTCCGTAGCGGGCATGTCGGTTCTGTATTGACGGTTAAACAGAATTGAAGGAGGGAGTTTCACACTGGCAGCATAACCCTGATGTCTGTTTCTGAACCTCGCAGCTTAGTTGACAAAACGGAGGAAAAATAACAACCGTTTTGACTCAGTTATTGCTTTGCGTTTGGAATCGCAACATGCAGAAAGGAGTTTGCGTCCACGGCCTTCAGATACGTTGGGGAAAACGCGTAAAAGCGTCCTGTGCTGTCGTCGTAAATGCTTACGTTGATGACGATCTATGTAAAGTTGCAGTACACAATCAATATATGTCAGCTACAATCATGCTTTTAAGATGATTTTGGTGATACAATTGATAACTGTTTCTTTACCATATATATATATATATTATTCGCCTCTGGTAATCCAAGCCCGGCACCTTGTTTACAGTGGAAAAGTGTTTCTGGCTGTGACGGTTTTCCCGATAGTAGGCTAGAAAGCAAAAGATGCCTAGTATGAATGTTCATTCGTATCTCTCAATTAGCTTTCGTCATATCGAGGTCATGAGGAAGAATGCATGGGCAGCGGAGAGGAAACCCTAGCAGTTATAAAGGCTTGCAACCCTCAAAGAACTACTGCCAATGCTGAATCGTGAACACATCGATTATGACAGTTGCCCGTGGGTCACCGATATGTTAGCCTTAAAGCCGTATATTCCCTTAATGAAGCAAACGTAATGACTTGCTGCACTGATCGCACTTTTGAATTTGTTCTAGGAAAGTTTTCGTTCGGCGGAATTGTTGAAAATGTTATATTGAAAGGAGGTCTCTGCCTTCCCTACGCCATCCTTAACGACACACACTGAGTGGGTTCATTTTGAGCGTCCAAGTTGTGAGCATGAATGGTATGTTGTATTTGTGCTACTTGCCGCTCGATGCCTACTCAACCGTATCAAAATCGGCGCAGTTTTGGAAACAGCCAAATTATTACTGTTGATGCCCTTTAGCTGATAATATCCAGTGGGATGCAGTTCACAAGTGGCTTGACATGATATCGATGAGGAATTTTTGTGTGGTTCTTTCTTCGGAAGTGTGTGTTGAAACTAGCAACTAAAGTACACTAACTATCGTCCGGTGGCTGTTTATCTCCCCCTAGTGGAATGCCTTGTAAAAGTTCACTCGTTATCAGAGGGACTATTATTAAATGTGAAGCGCTGCTCTCCTCACTGGTTCTGACGAAAGATCAGCCACCCATCCAATAAACGCTCTGATGAAAAATTAACAAGAATCTGTTTCAGTATTCAACGGTTTCGGTCTGTAATATATTTTACCATTGTGCATTGAATACGCTGCCACCAACTGATTTGAAATCATAGAGCAAAATATGATGGAATCGGGGCTGCAATGGAATCTTACGGTGCTACTTGGCTGCAAAATGCTATTTTCTACAAACGTGAACATGTTCCATTGTGTTGTATAAATTCTCAAACAAGACGTCACATTTATTAACATTACGTTTGTCGTTGCCTGCGTTAATCCATATCCCTCCTTCATTATCGGTACTCATTCGATGCTTGACATGCTGTGCTATGGGTATAGAAGTGACCTGAGATATGTTTATCGGGAAATTAAACTCGGTTATCTTTTCGCTTTTGATGTCATGTAAAAAGGTGTTGGGAGAATCCATGGTAAATACCAAGGGATATTCGCGTGTGCAACCGGTAATCGAGGAACCAATGCGTTGCCAGTGTGTGTAATACAGATGCATTAAATAGCCAGCCTACCCAAAGAAAATTTGGAGAATTTAAGAAAGCTGTTACACAGATGGCTAACCAAAAAGCAGCTGAGCATCTCCAAGGTCCTGTTAGAGTATGAAATCCAAAATGTGAAGTGCGAGAGTTGGGTGCCGTTGAATTCAGCAAGGTCGTCAAAATTCGGGGCATCTTCAACTACTGCAGAAAATGTCGACCATCTATGTTGGATAAACCGGAGCCTGTTGTATTTTACTGTAACGGATGACATGCTTTTGGTCCTGACAAAACTTTGGGAGCCCGGAGGCTGTATTTAGGGGAAGATCGCTATGGTTATACATTTTTTACCGGAGAAAGTGCTGTTTCAACGGTTGCGGGATATTATCGATAGGACACAAGGCACAAAACGCTTTGTGTGAGTCTTCTTCGAACTAACTGCTATTTTTTTGTTCATACACAAACTACACATTTGCCATCGCGCTTGGTGGGTGAAGGGTGTTGAAAGCAAACTTTTGGCACCCAGGAGCACACCGTTCCGCTTAACAAGGGAAGTGGTTAGCGAACACTATATCGTGAAGTCTTCTGTGATGGACACACTAACGGCACATATACAGACAGTGAGCGTAGTATGCAGAAAGCACTTATCTGGAGAACGTGGGCGGTCGCTCGAAAATCCGTGGGACACACTAGAGCATGCTATACAGATTTCCCAACACCTCATTTGCCTCATGCGTGAATACGAGTTTCACAGTTCGATTGACCGGTAATCATGAATGGCGGCAGCTACGTTGTCTGCGCAATGACTTCGTATGTTTCACAGCTTTGAGGCGATTGGGACCGCAACCTCTAAGATCGCACTGTCGTAACATTGGAACAAACAAGTTCACAAGGCAAACACCAGGTGTGCCCAGAGGGTTGACACCTATGCCGGTATATGAACATGCCCGTTTCACCAGGCCATGTTGCCCACTGCATCGATTAGCTTTCCGTATCAAGAGACTAGTCTGTTCCAAGCGCTAGAAAATAGTATTCCTAGACGTTTTATGAGTCGCTTTTCCGTCAACGAACGGTGGCGTTTGGATTACAGCTCATCAAATAAGGTAAAATCCTTTCAATTATCCACAATCAACCGCCACCAAAGTTAAACGGCCTACTTAGGAAACTGAACCTGGTGCGGGATAAACTTTAAGGAATGGAGTACAGAAGGACTGTTGTCGTCTCTAGGCAGTTGTGCGTTTGACGAAAAATTCTGATGCGCCAAGCTTTGACCTCTGAGAATGAGAGCCAAGCTTGTCAGCCATCTGCCTCATTGTGATATTTTGATAACCTTACATATATCTTGCTCTTATTTCAGCACATCCGCAAACCACAAGTTTCATCGGAGGACATACGCACTAATGAAGAAGACTATTTAAATTCAGCTATTTACCTCGCGCAATTTATATCCTTGAAGTTTTTCCGGCAGAGGTGGCCAGGCCTTCTGGATGATTAGCGGTCAGTTAGTAATGTGCGTCAGCTAAGTTCATTCACGTATCCGCTATAGTCGACGACATGGTCGTCCTAGTCAGTTTCGTCCGTTACAACGGAGAACTTTGCTGCAAATTATAACCAGCCCCGAACTATACGCACAGATCATCATCATCCTCAAACCTCACGCACTCCAAAACTCGCACGAGTTACCCGAATGCGTCTAACATGGGGATAACAAGAATTAGCAATGATGGGGGTCCCGGAACGCACAATATTCCATTTATCCAGTCAGAAAGGAAAACAAACAGCAAAAAATATTTACACATGTGCCGCGTCCGCCAAATTTCGTGTCCACAAACCCAGTCTAGTCCCGAAAACTCCATGAATTGTTGCGTCTGCAAAAAACCCTCGCGTTTGTAGCGGGCACCATTTTCCAATCGTTCGTAACTGTTGACATTTATAACTCACCCACATAAGAGACTCATCCATGAAGAGATTTTGCAGAAAAAATCAATGGACACAGTTCCAGTTCACTGTGAAGTGGTGACCCCAAATCCCCATAGCTTTTAGGAATTCAAATTAGTTTCTCAACTACCGACCTGCTACCTGTACTTCCAGCTTTTGGTCCCCAAGCCTCGTGGAAAATTCAACTTTGCACACCAATCAGATTAATTTTCATCTATCTGGGTATTTCACACCCAATCACCCGCTGAGTGTGGTTGTATGGCTGCCCGCCTCGCCATATTTGGCGTTGAACAAACAAAATCCTATTGCCACGATAAATTCCATCGTGATTGATAAGAAAATATTTAATTAACCAATCGATCAAAAAATCAGTTCGAATGGCTGAATCATCTAGGCTGCACAGATGGAGCAGGGAAAACACGGTGGAATTTAGCATCAGAATCGTCAGGATCACTTTTAAACCCGCCGGAAGACAACTACGATTGAAGTTGTATGTATACCAAAAGCCAGGCTACCAGCTTTTTCCACTCTCGTGGGCTTATTCGAATTCGGGGTTTCCCTTGATAGTCATATGCAACTAGACTAGACGCTTGGTCCCCTGAGATTGGATGGCAGGCTTGGAAAAGTAAACCTAAAAGAAACCTGTTTTAAAATTTGCTACATTTTAATGAACTTGTCAAGGGATACCGGAATTCCCGTCTATGGCCTCAGAGAATTGGCATTGTGTTGCCACTAGTGACAAAATGAGCAAGGTTTAACAGCGAAAACGACGTCAACCACGAATATGAGACAACAAAGAAAACGGTCTCAGCAAAAGCGATGACGCCAATAACCAAATGGTGAGCCCCTGCGCAATCTAAGAGGTCACGTAGTTCAGATTTTCACCGGGCAAAATAAAAGCGCGATGATAATTTTTTTGTAAACAAGGGGCCTTCAAAAATACTATTGGACATACTTCTTCCGGTATTTGTAGTCTGCTGGAAGTTTCATTTTGAATGACTTGAGAAATCGAAATTTTTGTTGAATCTACCTTGAGGAAAACCACTTATATGTGTACAAACATGCACGCGCACATAAACGAATCATATAAACCGCCCGGTATTCTGTAGACCGGCAACAAGAAATTATCCCAAATTGTTTCATTTTGAATGACTTGAGAAATCGAAATTTTTGTTGAATCTACCTTGAGGAAAACCACTTATATGTGTACAAACATGCACGCGCACATAAACGAATCATATAAACCGCCCGGTATTCTGTAGACCGGCAACAAGAAATTATCCCAAATTATGCCCGTTGCGTGATACTCATCACTTTACTTGCCCCCGAGTCAACTGATAAATTTAGGGAATTGAGGTTTCATGACTGGAAATAATTTAGAGCCTCAAAGAATTTAACAGCACTGGCAAATGCCGATACTCCCCACATATGTTTTAGATAATTGCTTGATAATTCGGTTGCGCAGATCTTCATGAAAAGGAATGAGATATTATCGGTATGTTTTGTTTACTACGTGACCCAAGTATTGTGAGAAACGAATTGTTATCCCTTTTGCCACTGAAACTTGTGATTTCGGAAACCCCGTCGATTACTCTACTCAAATAACTCGCCGATTCTTCCGTGCTTTATTAGGCATCCTTTAATTATAAGCATGCTAGCACTAATCCAGTGGTACAACCTAGATCGAACTCACCGATAATGCGGCCGCACACATTTTCTTCTAAGCGATTGCTGTGCCCAGATTCCCCATCATCCTTCCCGTCACCGTGGCTAGAGAAGCGCTTTGCATTCAACCCAGCAACTGCCCCCATTCCTCCTCAAAACTGGTCGATGGAGCTCTCAAAGTGCCTCTCAACTGCTCAGTAGAACTAACTAAAGTTTACCTTCCTGCCAAACTCAGTAGCTGTTCCCATTTCAGTACCAACAGAATCTCTGATTTACAGTGATCGGAACTCACGCGCGTAAGATGCAGAGAGACCTAGCATCTTACTGACACATACCATCAACTGCTTGCGTCATAACACTCGATGCAATGTGCGATCTATCGGATCTTGCAAAACAGTTAGTCGTCATTTACATACTTGCTATTGAGATTTGTCACGGTATTTTATGCCTGAACCGAGCCCAAATATACGATACTGTTGATCGACCTTGTTTTTCGCATTCTGTGGATCAATTTCCCACGTGTAGTACTGCAAGTTTAAACTTAGCAAAGAATCAGTTAATGAACAGGCAAAAGACCCCGTTTTTCATTTCTGCGATCCCACTGACTTGCTTCAAGTCACCGTAGGCTTTCAAGTGCCTGTCTATTGTGAGATGATTTGTGTTACTGATTCGATTGTTTTCATCCGGACAACGTATACGCCATTATAGCTGAGCCCATCTCCCGTATTAATCTAGCAGCTCTGTCAAATAACTGGTGCACTTTTCGGCCTGAGTATAACTAACGATGTTTTTAAATGTATATGTATGATCCAACTGCCGGTGTGCTCCACAGCTCACTAAGCACTCACATAAAATCTCGGTACGCCTCTGCTTTATCTTCGTTTAGCTTTTGTTCACTCGCCCTGAAAAGCAACAGTCTTTCTCCGTTGTCTGTGTGGTAACCGCTATTTCACTTGCTTCCCACGCGGCGTGAATTTATGCATGGTTATTTTCCTGTTTCAGTTGACTACATTGTGTTAGTGGCCTGGCTTTTCCCATACTAGAATAGCTATATCGTAGCTGGACTAATCAATTAATGCACAAGCCGCATTTACAACTGCTTGGCAGTTTTCTATGTTGCAAATCTGGTGGGTTGCACGTGAAATGAAAGTCTCGCGTGGTGGGCGTGTGCGACACACATGGGGGGCGCCGTGTTACGTTGCACACACTGAGTCCATATGCCCAACGCTTCACCAGTAGCATTGAAGCACTTCACGTCGTCGGTATTTTCATGTCTGGCAACTCATTCAGGAAGTCCATAAAAATTCACTGCTGTTTTCTTTGTTGCTTCCGGTGCGATTCCGTCCAACTTCAGTATACAAGGCCAGCGCCTGAAATCTTCGCCATGCACCACGCGTTGACTAAAGAACATACAAATTCTTTGGTGACCGGTGTACATTTATGGTTCATCCACATCAAAGCATGTCAGGGCAACCATGTGACGACCACGCTATACCCAGATTGATGGCAAATTCTCACGTACTTCTTTTGATCGTTTCATCTTGCTCATTCGTCCCCTTAACTGTGTCAACGAACAGACTTTACACCTAGCAACAGTCGCCTCCGGGTGGTGTTGATTCGAATCTCCTGGGACTTTTGTTTTGATTTAACTAAACCGGTGACTCTGATTCTTATGCAGTTTCTGTTCCGTCATTTGCGTTAGCACGAACTTCTTTTCCAAGGGAATTTCTTCACCAGATTCCAATTTTAACAGCAACACAAGTAGGTTTCCCCAGTTTCATCGTATACCCCGATTCCGAGATTCACACCAAAATTTATCGGTATTGCTTCTCGCGATATTCTATCATCGTAATCACGCTTTTCTTTCCCATGATCATGAGCTCAGCAGCTCACCGCCGCGAAGTCTCAGAGGTTGTTTTAGATTTTAGTTCATGTTTGCCGACTAGATTGCGTCAAATCTGCAATCTAACCATATCCGCTGTTCCGGTCCTTGATTCTTCGGTACTTGGATTTTTATCACGTGCCAAGCAGACCGCCTCTTGTTTCGCCCTCCGCCGTTTTGTATTTGCCATCTTCCTTTTGAATTCCTAACGAGCGGAACTTGAGTCAGCTTGGTATGCCGGTTTGGGCGAGACTAAGTGTACATCGGATAATGCCCACTCTTTATGAAACCTCCCTTTTCCGCGCAAATCGCAGTACGTACCAACCCCACCAGTCACGCTTTAATTCTCTTGGAGCCTTGCGTAGTGCCATTCACTAGTTTGGAATAAACCGTATTAGTAATTTAGTATAAATACAACTTTGACGCAAGTCCCGCATATCAACTAGATTCTGTCTTCAGAGCTGCCACCGGAGCGAGAGCTGCACAACTCTGGTGATCCAGAGACCTGCACATTCTAGAATAGACATGGTACTGACTAACACAGCGGGAGGGTCTCTCCTTCGTGGATATCCGTTGACGTTCGCCTGTGCATGGTTCTTTGGGCAAGGTCCAATAGATGTCCGTTCGCTTGCATTCCAATAAAATGTAACACTGAAACTGTCAAGAACGGACTTTGCGACGCTCTCGTTTCCTCTTTCGAGGACCTAAAAGCTTCGACATGTTCATTTATGGTAGTGATACTAGGCTGAGGCAGTTGGACCAAGCATTGCGAGGCCTAACACGCTGGTCGTCTTGGGTTGGATACGAGGTGCACGGATAATCAAAAGCGTCTACTTCAGATTCCTAACTTATTTTGCGACGCTAGTTTCCGGAACAGTGGAAGCCCGTTGAAAATGGACCGGCGCGCATTCAAATATACCACATTTCCGTCAGTTATGTGTAGCGACAGTGGATCACCGGCTGTTGCTCCTACTGGAATTGTAGCGTGAACTTGGACCACGCAGTGGGCGCTGTTGGTATTCACGAAGCACTACAGGAATCTCACCCTCATTTATCGGCTTTCCAAACACAAGCTTGTAAAACCGTTACCTGCAAGGCATTCCAGCCAGGCAAATGTCATACATTTGGGTCGAACGGGAGCAAGTATAAACAATATTCCTCAAAGTCAAAACGCATACCAGTGGTGCACTACAGGCTATATGACCCAGACACTGGGACCTTCAGTTGACCGTCACTTTGCTGCAGGTCCGGTCGCTGATTCTCGCTGATTTTACTCGCAATTAAAGACACCGCCATGTGAAACTAAGTGATTGTGAAGAGCAACAGAGTAGACAGTACCTGGAGCGGGATGCAATAACGCCGGAATCATCAACATGCTTGTCGACTTGATTCTCTCTACCAGTTTTCAGAAGAGTTTGGAGGAGGAAAGGGTGGAAAGCATGTAACGAGGATCTCCGATGGTTCGCAAAGTGGAAGGTCGAAACGTTGGGCATATGTGCGGGAAAACAGCTGGGTTGGCCAACTGTTGATTCAGTGTTAGAGTACTTTCATTTAACTCGTTACTCACCAGTCAAGGATTCCATCCCACTTTATGAAGTCAAGAAATCAGTGACTCTAGAAATACTGATACAGTGAGATTCATCTTAACACGTATGTAGTTGCCACATCCGCCGAAAATTTTCGTCTAGAAAGTCGACAGTGTTATCCATTTATTTTTGTTGTTTGGAAGGGTCTATTTCTCCTTGTTAGGAATAACCATACTGCGCTCGTACTGGCTGAGGACCTTTCCCTCAAAATTAGAGGTGATAGTTCGTCGCCCCTTACAGCATGACGACCGTGGGTTTGATACTTAGACTCGGTCGGTTTCCAGGGAGATTTCAGTTACATATTCACAAGTGACCTCCTTAAGTTTTGTTCCAGATACTCTGCCAAGTCTTTCGAACATTTTGCTTTGCTCGATTTCAATGTAGTGATTTGATTCCGGATAACGTCTGCGGAAAGCACCTTTGGCGGAGCAGTGTGATTAAACAAGTGGAACAGCCCGTTTCAAGAATTTTTCGCCTCTTCGTTCTCTCCTGGATGTGAGACTATCAAACACAAAATGATGTGCCATGCGTAGCTGTAGTTTTGTTGCACTTAGGATGCTCTCCCAGGAACTGCTTATATCCAAGATCAAACGAAGTGACAGGCATTTGAGAAGCCAGTATTAAAATTTTTGTTTCATTCCAGGGTCCACTAGCTTTTCAGTGGCTGAATCAAGTGTGCATTTCCCGCGTCGAATCAATGGGCACGGTGAAAGCCACAGCGTGCATGTATGTGGTCGGAATCCGCACACAGGCATTCCGTAAAGAGCGACAGGTAAATCTAGGCCATCGGCTGCGACAAATGATATCGATGTAGTTATTAAGAATCGGGCAATTTCCCGAGTAAATACCACGTCGTTGAATGACTTTCCCGTTATTTCGTGAATTGCTGCTGCAAAGAGCAACCAATACTAGGTGCATTTCTGCACAACGCCCTTCACGTGATCCGTGGTTCTCCTAGCCAATATGAGAAATCCATGAAACCGGGGCACAGCACAGCTCTTTTCAACTTGTACTGGGGATCATGGTACCAGCAACTACAGCAAGCGTTTACCACGTTGCAAAAACCTAGATTATTAGAGAAACTGCCCTTGGCTATCCGAGAGGTGCAGTCACTTGGGGCGTTAGCAGACACAAACGCCCCGTCAGTGGAACCCCGTGGAGCAACCATTAAATTGTTTCTATTGATTTTGAAACTCTTGTGCTCGACCACTTATTGCAACATCTACTGCGCATATTCAGCCGCAGCGAGCATTTTGGTACGCACGGTTTTGCCTATATCTTATTTTTAAGCTCTGGCCGATTTTGTTCAGATGCGGTTAACAATCTAAAAGAACAAATCTTTGGGCCTTGTACTTTCCAAACCGGGATACGAACAAATTATCACCGGTTCAGTGGCACACCTGGAATGCTACAGGATCTACTAATGGGATACTATTCCTGACTCCAAATGGTTTGCAGTTAACCTCTGGCAAACTGTCGTGATTCATAGGTTTTATGGAGAACTAATGCTGCCAAAATCAAACGACCCCCAGATAGGGAGCATCGAAACTGAACGCATCTTTTGATGTCAGTGAGCACTGTTCCGTGTACCATCGATCCCTGCACTCTCTATATCAAAGAAGTGGCCACCACCCAAGTTACATTCAAAGCATGTGAAAACTGACTTGCATAACATTTATCATCTCAATTTTTCAAGTAGCTTTCTTGAATTCTGTTTCTCGGATATCAGTCAGCACCTTTGAGGACAACCGGTTATAACCAGTTGATATTCTGCTCTCTAAGTGAAATCATTCCTTGCCCAGCTGTAGAGGAGAAGTATGAAACTTTTAGCCTCACGGGGATTCATCGGTTGTGTGGATCTTACAAACATCCAGTGGAATTGAGCCAATGACTTTTCTGACTTCACTAACAGGATCGAAAGGCCAGTATGATCCCAGAATATTCTAACGGTAGCCACAGCCATTGCAATGTATTTGCCATCGTATCAAGTTAGCTTGCGAGATTTTTTTCATTTTAACTGTTGCAAGACTGGCTGGTAACATGGTCACTGGCTAGTTTGCCAAGCTGGACAATTTGGTTGCAAACGTTTCATAAACAATCGTGTTGATATCATCGGCGCGTAGTTGTACGTAGCGGTGAGTTGGTGGTTGTGCCTGACTGGTAAAATAGTCTACACTTTCCCGCCTGTCATGTTAAACATCTTCTAGTCGCAGACAACAAGTAGTGGCAGGATTCTAGGCAGCTTGTTGATCAACAAGGTGGTGGTACCACCACAGCAAACTGATATTTGTGGTCATCTCCCTCCATCGTGCCCCGTCCACCGACAAAGCATTTACACCTAAAAATATACTGACTACGTACCTGTTGTAACGAAGAAAATAATTCTCCGGGCTGCACGAGCATGCCATCATTCCTAGAATTTATCTATGGCCAGTATCCTTGCGACCATTTCTACCGTTTATCCTGGTGAAAACGTGGTTGCGCTATCAAACCAGTATGCGATAAATGCTCAGAAAAACTTTGGAACTTGAAACTTGAGTCTTGAATTGTGGCTCTCAAAAGGTGATCGGTGGCCACGCGGTACAAATGGCTTCACGGTTTATTTGCTGTTGGCGGCAGCCAGGGTACGGAGAGCAAACGTTCTTCTTGAAAGATCGTAATTGCCAGAAAAAGTCATGATCAGCAAACAACTGCAGGAGTCGATCTCCATGGTCCGTGCGGTGAGCATCGGCTCTCAATCGACCACCCGAATGTGATTCCAAGGAGCTCACACGACCTACTTGAGCATGCAAATTGCCTGCAAGGTTCACAATGTCGGTGCTTTTTGCCTGACAAATGAGCCCGGATGGCTCTCGGTGAAAATTATCCTCCGAATCAGAACTGCGGTCCGTTGTGGCTTAAGCCGACACGACAGACAGGCACGCTTACTATGCCGAGGGGCACTGAGCTTGACTGAATCGGTTACCCGGACCGTGCAAGACGACCGGGATCCAACCCAGCAAAGCGCGTTGAGCTCTGGGACAGAGCTGAACTTCTACGACACACATATTACACGAGTCATCGCTTCTGGGTCACCAGACACACCGAGAGAGACATGTGAAAGAGCTGACTTCATCCCTAGCGTTCCGAGATGCACAACCACGCTCGGATATTGTATGCGTGTTTCATGGACACATCACGCATCGATGATATGGGAGGAAAAGCTTTCAGCAAGCATTGCCTGTTTGCAAATGTGACATAGAGTACGGACGTTAAAAGCTCCCATATAGGAAGGACCTCGTGGATTTAGAAAGGTGTTATTTTTTTACTGTTTGTAGCAGCGAGGAGCCTAAGACCAAACGGCCCAGCGACGTTTGCATGTGCGGTGGAGGGACATCGGAGGACGCGGAGCTGCGTCTATTAATGCTTCCCGGTTGCTCAGACCGAGGAAGGGAGTTTGTTTGAAGTACCCCACTATGAGCTTTGACCCAAAAGGCTGATCCACAAGGAAGTGGAAAACTGTAGGGTTTAGTACGCAGACCCTGACTCTAGTATCTGTCTCGAAAGTCTGACCCAAGAAGTAGTGGGACAATGTAGGGGTTTCTTTGGGGACCCTGTCAGGAGCCGGAGACCCCACATTCTGACCTGCTTGGCTGCAGGGGTTTGACCTAAACCAAGGGCGCGAGGAAGCTGGCATTACTTTTACATTCCTGATGCGGCTGCGCACTGCAGGTTCCTTTCAAGCAGCATCGGGCCCTTTGGTTTCAAAAGAATTTCGACTGTTTGGGATAATGCGTCGAGGGTCACGGTCATTGGTTACGCGATCAGGGTTTGCGGTTTAGAGGACCTATCTTTTCTTACCCGTCCTTCTTCGGGGAATGCAGCATCGCTGTTTCCATAAATAAGGGCATGCTGGTCACCTGGGGTAAACACCTTACTACTTTCACACTCCTGTCACAGAGGACACTACGAATTTCCCGCAGACCGCCTCGTGGCACGAACACTCGTAGTATGAGTTCTCGCTGCTCTTAGTTTGGCTGCTCCCCTCTGGCATGTTTGCACCTTGTAGGACGAGGTTACAACCAGTGTAACCCACGGAATCATTGCAGCACTCAAGCTCGGCCGGCACGTCAAGGTGGCAGCTTTGTGACGGGCACTGGATAAACGAGTCGGTCTGAAGATTTCTGTTCTTCTCCAGGCAATTTCTGGAATACGGTTGAAACTAAGGTTGCTGAACAATTAGAAATAAGATTAATATCGGTGATGACAGCTGAATTTGGACATTCCGCAAGACCCGAGCAGCAAAACTGTAATGTATTTTTTCTGTGTTTGAATGCCAGAATACTTGGATAGGCTTCCTGGATCTCGAGGACACGGTTTATGGTTTTCGAACCGGTCTGAGATCGTGAGCGCTATGAAGTGGATTATTTCGTTTTGCCTTGGTCGTATAAATGTAGCATCTTGAATTCTTTTGAAAACCATGCAGTAATAGGTCAGTTGTCACTACTTCCCATCTATCGATCTCATAAAAATGTTATTGGTCCACAGGCGAGCTGTCATACACACTGTTGATGGCGGATTTGGTTGAGCTACTGCGTGTAAGTAAGCTCAAGCTTCGTTCAGCCAAATGAGAGAAGGTTATTAATGAATTCTGGGGTTCGTGACCTTGCCCCAAACCAGCAAACAAAAATATGCTCACTCTACTACCTGGCTTCCTTCTCGCGAATGTCCGACAAAGCGACATATGCATACTGAAGCACCGTATACTGGCAAGTCTGGACAACATGTTTAACCGGCAACACCAGAGCAGTCCATGAATTTGCACTGATTAACATCAACCTCGGTGAAAACTTTTTGTGGATTCAGTGCCATAAGTTAATAGTCACTATATACCGCGAGGCCTCACAAGTATTCCTTTTGCGTGTTTGCACAAAAACATTCACTGCAGATGCGAGAGGTAATTTTTATTGCGTACTGCCGGAAGAAAATATATATTTCAACCAAAATTCCAGAAATCAGGTCGCCTCTAACATAAACTATTTCGACTCGTTAGAAGAACCTTGGCTCACAAAGGGTTGGCCCGCTGGCTATTTAAGCTTTATTTCATTAGCAAAAATTCTCAACTAGAGACCACGACAATGACCCGGGACTATTTCAGTCAGTGTTTCATCAAATTAGCGAAAATTTCTGAATGACCACCGTCCTGAAAAGAATCAACTTTCACCACAGAAATATTTCCATGATGAGTGTTTTTTAAAAATGTTAAGATCAAAGCAAACAGATAATTCACGATAAAAAATTCACTTCAACATCGTTACAATGAAAACGCTGCTGCGTCGAAATTTGTTGTTGCAACATTTTTTGTCATAGCATCAGATTAAGATGAGTAAGAAGTGATTCATTGTCTCACAACTTTTAGCTAGGGTCTGTCGGCCTTTCCGTGAAACATATGCGACCACCAACCGCCTGAAGTTCGGAAACTGCATTATCTAATTTGCACAATTATGTCGCCTAATTAATCCCGAAACCAGAAGGTTTCTTACAGACATTTGGCGTTGTTACGAGGTCGCGTGTTTCAGAGATTTGCCATATGGTACCAGTTGCTTAGCGTATTTGTTGATTCCAGAATTTCGTTAACCCGGGAACCGATATTCGCTGTATTTGGAACGACTAGCGAATAATCTATAATTGTCCCGCAGCAAAGTTGAAAATCTTGGAACCCACTGTCACCAACCGCAGCATATTTTGTAACCCGATGGAATGCATAACAATCGTTATCAAAGCAAGCAACAACTCCCGTAATCCAGACCACGTGCAACCTCCGTTTTGCAGCTAGGCAACTTAATGATGCTACAGCCGAAAGAATGATTGGGCAATAAACGGCTTACGATAATTACCATCTCCAGCCAGGTACCATGATGCATTTAGGGGGTCTATTCTATACTCCGGATGCATTACAAAATTTTTAGCTTACTAGATTTCCTCCTTACTATTTGCACCAAATTATCTGCTGGCTGATGCACTAAAACGACATCTAGATGTAAATTTGTTTCACTTTAGGCTACGAGGGTGCTACTTGCATCAGGGTTCATTGGCATCTACAGTCACGAAGAGGCATCAACCAACAGAAAATCTGACAAAACATCTGTAGTGACATATAAAAACCCATAATTGCCTGCAACTCAAATTCAACAATTAGATACATGAGAAATACGGAAGAACAATGGGTCGTGGTACAGCTGAACAACAAAGCACGTTGCTACACTCTAATTGTTAGCAGATAGCGAAAATTGTACGCGATATTTACTTGGGATTGTTTGCAATATCGTCGTAGGCGAAAGTGATTATATTCTGCGCTGGAACATTGTTTCTACGCACAAGTTGATACGCGCGATAAACATCCGCCTGAATGAGAACACAAATGACACGTAAATATAAATAACAGGCAGTGTGAGGAATGGAGGCAAAAGAAGGCATCCAGTGGGTGAGGGATAATCCATACTTGGTGGAGTACCAGTTACCACAAAACCATTTGGATGTATTATCCCAAAAACGGGAAGCATGTTTCTCCTCTGTAAGGGCTTTTGTGAACCAAAGTTCTAAAATCAGTGGTGTCCTAACAACGACCTGCTCACCGAATCTGTACGATTTGGTATCCCTTGACTTCGAAAATACGTTCAAATCTGTCGTTCGCTTGTGTTCCAGATAAATACTCACATTGCGGCGAAAATCATGTGGCAATGAAAAAATGGATACAGACGCACTAATTAGGGACCATCGTGGTAGATGGTGTACTGGCATATAGCTTATGAATGAGCCAGCGTAGTCACTGACGCTGAATGACTTCCCTGATTGAAGTACCAGATCATCTTGTTGCTAACACCCTAAAGCCATCCAAAACCAGCCACTCTTCTGAAGCATCGGCGAGCAAACACCTGAAGCGCCTCACATCATCTGCTGCAGAGGTCATGTCTCGCACCCATACAACAAAACTTCCCTCACAGTAGCCTGGCACTCGTAACTCTTAAGATGTAATGATATACAATTTTGACTCCACAAGTGACGCAAATTAGCAAGCGTGATTCAACCATTTGAGGTTCTCGCACCGACTTTATCAGACACATTTCCGCCAGATCTAACACGGGTACCGCGGTATGTAATATCTTCCGAAACTTCCGATGATTCTTCATGAATCGGACGTACGTTCGCAGACCGCACATCCTAAAGCATAACTGCAATTTGTGGGTGCACCTCGCATGCAAAAGGATGGTATATCAGGGTCAGTTTATTTAACAGGGCTTATCCTTCGCTACCGTCTTCAAAGATGAGCGCAATGTCACCTGCGTATTTCAGGTCGACAACAATGTTGGCACCGGGGGTTTGAAAACCTTGCAACGTTCGGCTCATTATTTCATCAGTCGTTAATTCGAACGAGAGGGGAGAGAGTGGACACTCTTGCTGATACCACTTCTTGTAGGGAAGATTTTGGAGAACTCACCCTACACACTGACCAGCCCTGAAGTATGAAAATAAAGGGATCGTGCCATGGGTGCACATTTCTGTGGCATACCCTGTTGAGCAAGTGTAGTTAAAGACACTGACCGATCGACAGTATTGAACGAACCCGAAAAGTCATGAAATACCTTGACTGTGGGTCCTCCGTACATACGGCGTTCTTCAACACTTGACGGAGTGTGAAGATATGGTCAACGCAGGCTCTAACCGGTCGATAGCCCCCATTATTCGAATGAGTTGACGGTTTGTCTGCCACAGAGAAAAGTCGATGTTTCTGTAATACCAGTAGCCTCGTCACAACGAAAGTCAAATTAACAACTCTTTGGTTACTGCCGATTCACCATAGTTATCTGGGGCAGACTCTTCAACCAGATAGGCTTCAAGGGGACAGATAGCCACTGGCCGGGATTTCCACCGCCATACTTGAAAAGAGTAGGTGAAATATCTCCGAGACCATGAGCACGATGAAGCTTGAGCAGGGAAATACACTCGGACAGTTGTGAAACTCAAGGCGACTCCATATTCACAGTTCACCTGTCTGTCGGAGGCCAGGATTCTGGATTGGATGTAGCAAGTGGCCAAGTGAAGTTTTACCCAGTGAGCTGTCCCCAGCAGTTTGAACGTTCTGATTTTCTTCATATCAGGGAGCCTTGTTTACACCTTGAAATTTTTCGCTTTTGAGGACCAGCCAAACGATCAAGTGGAACAGCTTCCGAACGTTTCCAGCCTGCATTGCATCTTCCATTCTTTCGGCCTTTCGAGTCCATCGAGCTCCTCAGTCTGTACGCTCTACCTGACGTCGGATGATGCTGTCAGTCTAGAGTGAGTCAAAAGGAAATCCGTCGCCGGTTCTTAAGCGACGACATGGTCCTATCAGAGGTCCAATATATGGATGAGGTTGGCCGAGTTCTCTCGCAAACGGACATTCCACCTCTGAGTAGGGTTTGGATATCTTTTCTCAGTGGACGATCATATCCAACATCGCACCATCCGGCAGGCGTTTGAGGAGATGGTTGTGATATTTTTGTATGATATCTCGGTCCAATAGCGTTTTAATGGCTAAAAAAGTTGTCGGCGTTTTGCGTACACCTGAAAAGTTCGATGAAAGAAATCAGCTTGCAAGTGAATTGCCGAAGTCCGCGCCGGTATTCCAGAAGCAGCGCAAGCGTTGATCGACCCGTACTCCTGATAAATGGCGCATTGAGGACTGAATAATTTGTGACTATCAAGTTGTCTAGCACATTTCACTCTTCCAAAAATTGGTACTGCGAAGGAACACTCTATGACGGCACACATCTGAGGTGAGTGATCCCCGTTGTCCGTCATCCTCGTGTTCAATCCAAAACGATTAGGCAGTCGAGCATCATCAGCGATTTGTCTAGCTTCCTGGGTAATAATGCTACCAGCAACGACAACCTAATCTGAGCTTTTAGCCTGCTGTAGCAGGGCACCAGTATTGTCATAGAAACAGTCCTTGATGATTCGGGGATATAGTTAATTGGGCGTGTGCGGACAAAATGAAAATGTGCGATGAGCCCCAATTCCTCCAGATTCTCCCACACCTGTTTTCAAACGGACAGCACAGAAGTGACTACTAATGGATATCCGGTAAAACTGGGAAGATTACCCTCGTTTGCTCAATGCAATATAAACGCCGGCACCTAGAAGAGAGCGAGAGGGAAGCCAGTTTGATCGCACTGCTTGAGTCCTGCATCCTTGTTTCTGACAGACAACATGCCTCGATGCAGCTGTAATTCGGCATACGTCAAGAGCCACCTGCTGACCTGCGTTTTGGTGTGCAAACAATATAGGCGGCTTGGTTGACAGGCTTTTGAGGTACAAAAACAAACTTTGAGGTGTTTAGGGTGGTGACTGGACTCAGATGTACAGACGCTGCTACTGAATTTGACGCGAGGCAAGCAGAGCTCTCAGTCCTGGTGATTAGGCCTGAAAAATATATTCAAATATGGGTAGGGGTGGCGGATGAAAAAACGTGTAGTTAGAAGGGAGGCCTCAAGAGTAGCATTTTTTCGTTTACCCGCCCTGCTATTACAGCGGGTGAGGCGTTACTCTGATGGCACCACGAAGCAGCTCATGTGGCGTGATAGTATTATCAACTGTCTATATCTTGGTTGTGTGAGAGCTAGAATAATCCCAAGACGCCCGCACTTAAACAAGAGAACGTTTAGGTTTTTGAGTCTCAAACCTAACTGGAAGGTAGGCGTGTTGAGCTGATAATGCAAGTGCACCAAATGTTTTACGGAACATGTCGACACCCATGTTCCAAATTCAAACATGCAGGGCCAGGAGAACTCCGCACATTGACCAGCCTGGTAGGGAGGAATGTGTGAAGTGGGGACTGCACAGTATAGCTCAATGCTTGTTCGCTGAGCTTGGCAATTTAATTGCAAACATTTCATCACCAATCGAGGTGACGTCATCAGTGCGCTATTGGGGAGCGTAGTGGGACGTAGCATTGATTTGGTGGTTGTGGCACAACCACCAGAACGTTTCCATTATTGGTTACCGCCCGGCAATGACTGCTCAATCGTTTTAGAAAGCCTAAGATATGGAACCCCTCCGGTGTCCAGATGTGTAGCGGATTACGAATTGGCAGTGAACCAAAAGGGTGGCCTGATTTTTATATGGATGCACCGTGAGGACGGGTGTGAAAAGCGCACGTGAATGATATGGCGACGGCAAATTGCTCGCTATCATCAGATACCGTAGAACGCAATTTATTCTAAAGTGGATAAGTAATTATGCTGTGCAATTCTGCATCCGCCGTACGTCTTGAGATTGCCAAGTGTAAATCTCGGGTAGAATCAACTCCAACCGTCATGAATGTTGTGGCATTCCATCTATTTGAGTAGCCCGAAACGTCTGTACAGACTATCCTGGGGAAACGCACGCTAATCTAATCGGGAACAACAAAAAAATGCTTCCGAAATTTCTGCACATTTAGCTACGGCGTGGCGTCAGTTTTACTTTCAGAGGCAGAACATTGGCCTCCTTGGTCCGAAGTTTCATATGTTATAGATAAAATTAGCTGGCGCTGCGTGCGGGTTATTTTCGAATGCCGTTGTCGTTGCCCGCCGAGCGCCACGTGTGTCTGGTTGGAGAATCACGTCCTGTTCACTAGTATGAGTCAGACGATTTTCGGGAAGATTCACTCATCCTCAGCAGGTATGCTGTGCAATATACACCGAATAAGCCATGTGCTACGTGGGCCAGAGGGCTGCACACCCACTAAAATTTATCTGCCAGCTTGGTGATTGATGTAGATGACTCAGAAGGGATCCTCAAATAACCTGACAGCAAGACTTTAATGTGCATTTCAACCAACACAGTAACCATTGTTTCCGCGGTTGAACGTCTTTAGATGAGACGATTCAATGATGATGTCAGGTATAGTTACGTAGTACATTTAACAAAAGTCCCCCATCGAAGCATGGCTACACGTTGGCGGCTTCCAAAAATCCCTGCCGTGTGACAAACACAAAGGATTTACGTTGTGGAACTGACCGAGTCCCTACTTCAAACGTTCGAACCTAACGATCGCCTTTTCTCATCCGTTGTGGACAACAACGGAAGCAGTGGGTTTTGGTTCGCGGTTTTATATAAAAAGCTGCAATGGTGGATGGGAGAAGCTGCGGGAACAAAATTACGAAACAACATGGCTACAATGTGGAACTTAATTACAAAACCAGATTCTATCTACATACCTTGAAGTTTTAGACAGAAAAATGAGATGCGTTAGTCGTGATGAAAAACCTAATGTAGCCGAAACACCAAATAAACCCGTTTTCGCACTTGTCCGATCAACCTACGCTGCATCTAATCAAGGAGGACAAACTTTTAAGTAAATATGTAGACAAACCGGGATGTTT